TATATTATATTATATTATATTAGGAACTCGAAGAGTATATATAGTTCTCCCTCCTCCTCTTTCCCCCCATAACGACAATCCAGTGAAGTAGGTTGGACAGAGAAAGCATGACTGGCCCAAAGTCATCTAGTTAGCTTCTGTAGCTGAAGGTGGACTAGAACTTGGGACTCTAACAGATTAACCAATCAAACATTTTAACCACTACATCACACTGACAAATAAATTGTGCAGGGGATACAACTATCTTCCATTAGGATTGTGGCTCTATTTGTAGGCGGTCAACTTTTCAGTGCCTACTCCTCCACCATACATAATAAGGCACCCTGCTATGCAGTGAGCCTCTACAATAAGAGAAAGTCTGTCTGATATCAGAGAAGGAAAGAGATGCACTCTTGGAAGCAACAGGTAGTCCTCGCTTAAAGATGACAATTGGGACTGGCAGCTCTGTTGCTAAGCAACACATTCATTAAGCGAGACATCACATGACTGCGATGGGTTTACAGTGTCATTTCCACTGTGGTCATTAAGCAAATCATCCACGGTCGTTAAATGCAACATCACGTGACAGCAACTTGAGATTTTACTGCCAGATTCTTCATTGACTTTGCTTGTCGGAAGCTGACTGTGAAGCATGCAAATGGTGATCATGTGACTGCAGGACACTGCAACAATTGTAAACCTCCGCCAGTTGTGAAATGCCTGAATCTCGATCAAGTGACTGCAGGATGCTGCAATGGTTGTAAGTGTGGGGACTGGTCATAACAGTACTTATTCAGTGCTGTTGTAACTTTAAACAGTCACTAAACAGGGCAGTCATTAGCGAGGACTACCTGTATTTCTTATTGGAAAGTGTAGACACGGTGCTTTTACTGAAAGATAAACAAGTGGGGGAAGCACAGAAAAATGGATCAGCTGAATCTTTCTCCTTGACATGCTACTTTTGCAAAGAAGGGTGCTGGGGAGGAAGATACACAAACACTGGATTTCTCTTATAACAAGAAATAATAGAACTCTTGAAAAAAGTTATCACTAGCTCCTATTGCATGTATGAACTAACTTCCTATGCTCAGAGATCTATAGTATTTTGTTTTTCAGAGAAACTTGAGAAGGAAGGTCAAGCTGTGGTATGAAACAATCACTTCACATAATTCCACTTCTACATCGGCTCTGTTTTCATTCCCCAAACTCTCAAAAACAGTGTGAAGGCAATCCACATCTGTCTTCATTTCTGCTGATTTGAAATGCTGAGAATAAGGAACAAAACTGTTGCCCGACTGCAAGCTTCTCTAGGTCCTGCAGCAACAATTATCACCACTTCACCTTAAAAAGAAAAAAAGGTTAAAAGAAAAAGAAAATTGAAAGTAGTCTGGTGCTTTGCAAACCAGTTCATCCAATGGTGATGGATGTGAAGATGAAAATTCATGAACTCTTTTGCAGTGGTTCTTGTCTTTTCTGTCAGGACGTGTCCAAAGGCTGGTTTTGGGAGAACACTGCCTGAAACCAAGATCTCTGACCTGTGGTGATCCTCCGAGTTCTATTCTGTCTCCTGTACTGTTCAACATCTACGTGAACGGCCTGGTGGAGGTCATTCAGAGCTTTGGATTACAGTGCCATCATAATGGATGGCACCCAGCTCTGATGCTCCCTAATTCTAAGTAAGCAATCCGTGCCCTTGAATGGAGCTTAACCTCAATAATGGGGTAGGTGAAGTAAAACTAGCTGAAATTAAATCCAAACAAGGCAGAGATGTTACTGGCAAGGAAAAAGTTGGCCTTTGGAATTATGGTGAGAGTTATTCTGGTTGGGGTTGCATTCCCTCAGAAACAGTAGTTTTGCCTTTTGGAAGGCTCCTTGACCTCAAGCTGTTACTAGGTTTGCAAAAGGACCACGTTCATACAGTTACGGCTGGTGCATAAACTGCAACATGTTCTGAGCTAGTCAGCCTCAACAAGTTATCAGTGCTTTGGTTACAATCCACCTTGACTACTGCAAAGTGTTTTTTGGGGGTTACCCTTGAGAAACACCTGGATACCACAATTGGTGCAGTGGCTGCTGACTGATACATGGCACAAGAATCATAAGATGCCTGTATTTCTCTGGAACTCAGTGCTCTCACAGGAACACCAAACAACTTGAAGAAATACATCAACTGATTGCAGATACAAGCAATAGTGATGGTGAAGAGTAGTTTCTCCAAAGGCTGAGAATCTGGTTCTATATGGATGCACACCTGACAGTTCCTTCTTCTCCTTTTGCAATGGACTGCTTGCATTCCTTTTACAGTGGTACCTCGGTTCACGAACTTAATTCATTCCACGACTCTGGTCGTGAACCGAATTGGTCATGAACCAAATCAAATTTTCCCATAAGGTTCAATGTAAATACAGTTAATCCATTCTGACCCCTA